AATCCTCCATTTTGTCTCTCCCTAGGATGGCGGCGCCCAGGTTCGTCCCCTTATCGACACCCCATAACACTTGTGGCAGTCGCCAAAGTAATCATATTTCTTCTTATGAACTGAATCAATTATGAATTCAATTTACATTTAATTTTTGGAAGAATCTCCCCAAGGCCCTTGACCCTTCGAAGCCTTTGTGGAAACTGTTCAAAATCATTAACCTACAAGCTTCCACAGTTGAGATAAATGAAAAAAGGAACCAAAAAGAACAATTTAGAACATGTTTTAAGAATAGAAAAAAGAGACATGAGGCAAGTGTTTGCCCATCAAAGTCAAAAATTTGTTTCACCTGTAAAAAGAAAGATCACATAAGAAAAAACTGTCCAAAGTAAAAAAAAAAAAAATTACTATCATCAAAATGAAAATAAAAAGAAACAGTTTAATTAATATAAGAACAAAATTATTCAAGAGTGACTGCCCAAGTTGCCCATCCATTTCCTTAATTATGCCCTACCAAATGTTCCTTTTAATTTCAATATTGTTTTAAAGTTTTCACAGTACGCTTTGGGAAAAGAGTTCATTAATTTACCTTTAGACCGTATTTACACTTCATGATCTTTGTTGATTTTTGTTTAACCATTTTCCCACATTCCCAACTAAATTTCTTGACTAAAAAATTGTTCATTATATTCTTGATACTTTAAAATAATCTGCTTAAGAAGTTATATATTATAGAGAGAGGAATCATTCTGTCCAGTTAATACCCACAGTAGCATAAAATAAAATGAGCAAGACCACATCTCCATTTGCTGATCACATCCTACAGGAGGAGTGACCTCCAAAATCACTTTCAAACCCCAGAAAGCCAGAACCTGCAGATTCCTCGGTGATTCATGCTTCAAGCCCAGTCTTACTTCAAGATAATTCCACTGCAATTCCTCCTCCGGACCCTGATTCCGTATATAATAACTTTGTACATTTTATATTAAGTTTCTTATGTGAAGAAGATCCTTACCCCATGCCTTATGGTCATGAGTAGTTCATTTTTTCCTGATAATTTTTGAATTCTTTTCTGTTGCTGTAATAATTTGTCATATGGTAAAATCTGTTATATGATAGATTGTGTATACGATATGTTATATAATAGATTCATTAATTTGTTTTGAACCCCAGAACTCTCCTCCCTTTTGTAAAAAGACACAGGGAGATATTGTGGTGTGTTTTGCTTTGAATCCATGTTTGCCCCCTGTTCTCCTGCCTAATCCACTCCCTTTCCCTGTTGCCAATTTTCCCAAGCTCTTCCCTAAGCTCCTCCCTTCCAAGCTGTCAATCCTCCCTATCCCTACCCCTTTCTCCGGAGAGTTCAGTGTCTGTCTTGCTGCCCTCGATACCCCACTCCTTACTTTGTATTATTCCCCTCCCCTGTTTTCCCTGATAGGCTCATAAGCTATTTGCCCCACCTTATATTCCTCCCTTACCATATCCTCACTGGTTCACTTTCCTACACCCGCCTCCTGAGTTGCTGTATAAAAACTTCTGTTCACCCCCGCCCCCCAGTCTTGCTGGGGAGCCCAGGAATAAATCCATCTTGTTCTACACCCAGACCCGTGTCATCGCTGTCTGTCCCTGCGCCAGACCTGCCGATAACTGGGAATTGCAGAGCTCGCAGGGGGACAGTCACGCCTGTGCCACAGCCGTCCAGCACGCCCCGCACACGCGCGCTGCAACACTCCTGGTTAGGTGGAGAAGTCCGAGCTGAGCCCAAAGGTGCAGATGGAACAGCCGTGCACAGGAAGGCTCGGTGGGAAGGATGATCCAGGACCCGTAGGCCTGGCAGCCTGAGCTCGCTCCAGGGGAAGGCCTCGGAGCAGATCCTCCTGAGTGCCATCCCATGGCACGTGCAGGGAACCCGGGCATCTGCTGGAGGGTGGGAAAGCTCTGCAGAGGGACGGGGGCAGCTGGGGCCCCTGACGGGGTGTTGAGGGCTTCTGTGCCGGAGTTTGGGGGTGTTGGTGTTGGTGGGGTGTTGGGGAAGGAGTTGTCTGGAAGGTGAGTGGTTTAGGTTGGAATTTGAGTCACTTTGAAGGCAGCATCTCTGGTTTGGCACAGCTTTGGTTACGGAGGGCAGAAAGAATATTTGTGATTTTTCCTCTTCATGGTCCTGATTCTCCTGCAAAGAACAAGAGGGGAGAGCTGTACTTTACTGGACAATTCGATATCTCTACCAGGGGGAGGATTAGCCTTTTTTCCTTCTATTCATTTGTTTAGGCTACTTTTGTAACACTGAGTGGACTTTCATTTCTTGAGATCTTTTATTCCTTAAGATAATTAGGATATTATCATCCCTTCATAGAAAACCATTTGCAAACCAAAGAATGGCCCTTGGTTTTGCCCTTGTTTTGTGTAGTGTTATGTTCTGTAAAGTGACCCTCAATGGATGAGGTTAAGGCAAATGAGTTGCTGCTTTGAGATGGGAAGCAAAATTCCAAATCTTCTTTTCCTCAGGCTATCCCAATTAATTTGGGAAGTTTGCAGTGTTTTGGAACTACTTGAGTTGAGCAATGGGAAGTAAAGCTTTCCTGAACTGAGGATTCTTACTTGCCAGATTCTTCTGTGCCTTTGCTGCTAAGGTGTTTTTGTGCTGAAGGCAATAACTTCAATGAGAAAATAATTTCAGCATGGAGTAAGAGCTTCTGACAGAGACCAAGTGTTGCCAGCAGTTGCTCCAGGTGCTCCTGCCAACAGCCCCTGCAGGCAGGAGCACAGCCCCCCAGTGCACGTGGGTTTGGCTCCCTCTGGCACAGAAGCCCCCCAGGGGCACAGGTCTCTGGGGCAGAAGACAGGGCACCAGCGCTGCCAGGGCTCGGGGGGTGGCAGGTCTGCTTGGGCAGGGACTCTGCCTCACCTGCTGGTGTCAGCGCTCCCCGGGCCCCAGGGGTCAGAGCAGCATTCGTGCCCTGACCCACACATTCCTTGTGCGTGCCACACCTGCGGGTTTAGGATGGCCACCAGCTGGGACATGTCTCAAGGAGGCAGTGCCAGCTTCTGTGGAAGGCCCTGTGCACTTCCCAGCTGCGGGGGCTCCTGCTGCCCTGAGCCCGCAGAGCAGGGCAGCGTTTGCTGATGGTTTGAGCCGTTCCTAAAGACTCTGTCAGCCTGTCTTGGACACTTGGGGTGAGGGATTCCTTCTAACCTGGCCATCTTGGGTGGGCTGGAGGCGGCCATAACGCAGGGGGCAGTGTGTGCAGGGGCCCTTTGTGACATGCTGCAGCATGGTCACCATGGTATGGAACAGCATGTCAAAGGACCCTTTGTGACACGTGGTGACATAGGAGCTGGCGGTGACAAGGCCATTCCACAGTGCTCCAAGCACTTGACAGGACAGGACGAGACAGAGCAGTGCTGTGAGGAGCCCCCACACAGCGCACTCCTTCGTGTCTGACCTGGAGCTTTTCGAGGTGTTATTACTGCAGCTGACCTCAAGGCCAGACCACAAATCCAGCCACTGACATGGAGCAGAGACCCCCAAGAGTGCCCAAGCTGGCCTGGGTGGAGGAAGAGGAAGAAGGCCCTGGAGTTGCCCCTGCACACGAGACTGAAGAAGTGGTGCCATTCAAGCAGCTGCAGGAGGGTGAGTGGCAGAGCTGGGCTGCTGGGCTGCAGGGTTAGTAGCTGCAGCCAGCTTGGCCTCGCCCCATCCCATCCCATCCCATCCCATCCCATCCCATCCCATCCCATCCCATCCCATCCCATCCCATCCCATCCCATCCCATCCCATCCCATCCCATCCCCTGGGGACATGCCCATGGACAGGATGGAATAGGGGCCGGGCAGACACCCCACAGCCGTGCTCCATGCCCTGGGGCGTCGCAGGGCTGTCCCTGCCTGGGCAGTGCAGGGCTGGGCTGTGTTCTCCGGCCTCTCCCGCAGCCCCTCAGCTCGGGCTGCGCTCGCTCTTTGCCAGGTGCAGCCGTGGAGCGCACACAAGAGCAGAAACGCACCCGTGGCCGCTTCCGCAGAACAGCGCAGGTACCTGCAGCCATCCCCACCTGGGCTGGGCCTGCTGGCACTGCTCAGCCAAGCACCATGCTTGGAGAATTCCATGGAATATCCCTGGCTTCCTGCCCTTCTCCTACAGCTGGTTTGCAAATTCATGAAGAGGATCCGGGAGGAAGAGACCACCATGGGCACAGGGCCCAGAGCATATTCGCACATCTTCAAAACCCAGACCTGTGCTGCCCTGGCTGATATGCTGGTAGAGGAGGGGTTTTCCAATCCAAAGCAAGTAAGCAGCCTGTGGCCAGGCTTTGAGCCTCCCAGGAATTACTTGGCCTCCCAAGCCACGTCTGCTGCTCCCTGGAAGCCTTTGAGGCCATGGCAATGTGGTGGCAAGGGAAGCACTTCTCTGGGGCAGCTGGGCACATTCCTCCCTCTGGCAGCTTTCCAAGTGTCCTCGTGCCTTCTCCAGGTGCCCGCCATGGTGAGGTACATCCACCAGTGGCTCGAGGCCAACCAGTTTGCTGAGCACAGGCTGAACAGGACCCTGCTGGATCTCACCGAAGAACGGCCCGCTGACGTAGTCATGACGCTCCTGCGTGTGGCCCCATTGTGTGACAGGTATGGGGCCCACCTGCCCAGAGGGCTCAGGGCTCCCCAGCCCATCAGCCTGTACAGCCTGTGCCAGGTGTCTGACCAACAGAGAGTCCCAGGGCCCTCTGGCTGCTCCCTTTGCCAGCCCTGGCACATCAGCCCCCGAGCCTGCTGCTCCCTCGCTGCCCCTCAGGGGCCCGTCCCTACAGGGCTGGGCTGCCTGAGTGCTACTGGTGAGGGGCAGTGGGCAGAGGCAGGGCTGGCAGCCAGCTCAGGTCCCCACTGCTGCCCAGGCCACGGTGCTGTGTCTCAGACCCCCCTGAGACAGAGCTCTGACCCCACAGAGCTGCTTTGACCATGTGGAAGAGCATCATGTGTTCGCCCAGGACTGCAGAGCCGGCCATGCTCGTACTCCTCGATGTGCTGGGCAGCTGGCCAGAGCACAGCACGTGCACCTCCGATGGGGACAAAACGGGTGTCTTTGTCCTGGCTGTGAGTTTCTGCAACTGGCCTTTGCTGGCCCAAGGCCACCTCTCCAGCAGCTCTCCATCCTCCCTCCCTCACGGCGTCTCCCTGCCTCAGGCGCTGGGCTGAAACCTGGCCTCGGGGCAGCTTCAGGGCCACCAGGCCCGGTGCTCCCCTGTGGCTCTCCAGGCCTCTCCCTCCCGTTCTCGGGCCCTGCCACACGAACACCTCGGCACTGAGCGCTGTCTCGGGCTGCTCTGTCCTTTGCAGGCAACTGTGCTGATGTGGAAGATCCTCCAGCTGCCCTGTGTCCCACATATGGTGACTGTGTATCTCCCCCACCTATTGGTGCATCTGCTCTTCCAAGTGCTCTTCAGCACTCTGGATGTGCCAGAGGAGGTCAATACCTTCTGGAAGGGATGCCAGCAGCAATATGGCCTTGACACCAGCCCCAACAGGTGCTCCATGCCAGTCCTCCTGTCCTTGCCACATCCCTGGGCAGGAGCCAGTGCTCCCAGCGTGACCCGGGCTTTGCTCTGCACACAGGTTTGCAGTGCAGACCCTGAAGTCCCTGCTCTGCCAAATGCAGCACGAGGATGTGGTGGTGGCAATGGAACGCAAGTGTGGCTGGGACAAGCTGCTGTGTGCTGACACCTACCACCATGCCGTGGGTCTGCTGGCCAAGTGAGACCCCCCTTCTCCCCGCTGCCTCTGACATTTGTGCTCTGTGCCTGGGGTGCCCCATACAGTGCCTGTGGTCACGGGCCAGAGGACCTTGTCACCCAGGGACAGCCAAGCAGACTGGAAAAGGCTGGGAAAGGAGGGTTCCCACAAGGAGCCATCTCCCAAATAGCCCAGGGGCCCTTGCAGGATGCTGGGAAAGACCAGACCTCTGTGAGTCAGTCCTGGGAGAGGTTTGTCCCCCTGGCCCACAGTCTTGGTTACTTTGTCTCCTGCCAGGGAGATGTCCTGTGTCTCCATCCCCTTGTGCTCCCGGATCGCTCGCTACCTGCTCCGGCTGCTCAGCACACAGGAGCCACGCTGGGAGCTGCCCTCCCTGGCGTTCTTTGTGGAGGTGAGCCTGAAGGCCAGCACTGCCTCGCTCAGCTGCCTCCCGGCTCTCTGCCCTCTCGTAGCCACAGCTGCCTGGGACGGAGCCCGCGCCCTGTGCTGCTGCCTGGGCTCAGCCCTGTGCGGTTCTGGGCTCCTGCTGGCCGGTCCCCTGTCACTGCCCTGTGCCTTTCAGGTCCTCAAGTGCCTGGACATGAGTGAACGCGGTGCTGACAGAGTCCTGCAAATCTTGTCAAGGCACCTGCAGAGCGGGTGCAGAGAGAAGTGTCACCTGGTGCTCAGAGCCCTTCTTGATCTCATCAACAATCCCTTGATGGTGAGAAGGGGGCAAGGGCTGAGGCTGCGCTCGGGAATGCAGTCACTTGGGCTTGGCTGGGCTTTGGGCACTGGGCCAGCTGCTCCCAGCTCTCCTGCCTCCTGCTTCAGCTGCCCAAGTGCTTCAGAACAGCCCTTTGGCCTCTAGGCCCTGCGGCAGCAGGATGGCGTTTCACAAACTTGTGTTCCGCACAGAGCAAAAAAATGTGGAGCCTGACTGAAAGTCTTGTGGAGCTCCTCTGGGACGCAGATGGAGAGATAGTTAGCATGACAGCCATGCTCCTCAACTTTATCATCTTGGAAAAGGACATGCTGATACCCAGCTCTATAGCACTGCAGCTGGTTGAGGCTCTCCTGCCACTCCTTGACCACGTAAGGCTCACTGCCCCCAGCCATGGCCACTGGCTGCTGCCCGGACACTTTGTGCCCTGCGGATTTGCAGGCCTGCACCAAGCTGAGCTCCGTGCAGCCGATGCTGCGGTCTTATTTTCTTCCCTTCATACAGGACAATAGCCAGGTGCAGCTGCTCTCCATAGTGCTCCTTGGAACATTGGTGACTCTTCCACAAGAAAAGGAAAAAGGGGCTCTGAAGACACACGTGCACCAGACCTTGCTGCCACTCTTCTTCCACTGCCATGATGAGAATCAGCGAGTGGCACAGGTGAGGACTCGTGGGCTGCTGCTGTTCCCCTGGGAGGGGCTGGGCTGCCTCCTGCCCTGGCGCCTCGTGGGCTGCAGCCTCCTCCAGGCCCTGGCACAGGGACACAGGTCCTGCGCCCTGGGCTGTGGGGCCATCTCCACGTCTCTGCTGCTCTCCAGGCTTCTCAGGAAACGCTTCTGTGTGCGGCCGAGTTCCTGAAGAGGACGGAACTTGAAAAGCTGGTGAAGAGCAAGAAGCTGTGGAAGTTCACTGAGTGGCTGGTAAGGAGGGCCGGGAAGCCGCAGCCCCAGGCTGGAGAAGCCCCCTGAGCGCGGTGCTCGGTGTGCAGGCTGGCAGCTGTGCCCCTGCCCGCTGCTGCAGCCCGAGGCCGTGCCGGCTCCTGCGGCCCGAGCCGGGTGCCGATGGAGCCCCGGCCCGGCGGGGCTGCGGGGCGGCACCGCGGCTCCCCGGGCAGCAGCCGGCCCTCTGCCCCCTCCAGAGCCCGGCGCCGGCGGCTGCTGGCCGCGCCTCAGGGCTGTGCGGGCAGGGGAGGCCGGGGCTGGCGCGGAGAGCGCCCGGCCCAGGGGCTGAGCCCGCGCCAACCCTTCCCTGCTGCCGCTCTCTGCAGCTGGCAGAGGACAGGAGCAGAGTGGCCGAGCACCTGCGCCGGGCCCTGCCCTACCTGCAGAACCTACAGCAGCCCCTGCGAGAGGCGGCCGTCAGGTTCATGGGTGAGCCAGGAGCCCGAGCTCCCTCCCCGCCCCGCCGCAGCTCGGCCCCAGCCCCGGGCCGGTGCCGCGGAGCCCCGCCTGCCCTGGGCGCTGCTGCCGCCCTCTCCAGCCGTGCCCTGGGGCGGCAGCGAGCGGCGAGGGCCCGGCCCGAGCCCTGCCGGGCCAGGAGGCCGTGTGGGCACAGGGCTGGCAGCGCCGCTGGCAGGGAGCTGTGCCGCTGGGCCTGACAGGCTCTGTGTTCCCAGGGACGGCCGGGCAGTACCTGAGGGGGAGGACCAAAGAGCTCCAGCTCATCTCTGAGGGTGAGTGAGGGCAGCGGGCTGCCAGCGGGGGCTGCCGGGGGAGCTGGGAGCCCTGCCCCGGCTGCGGAGGGCTCTGCTCCCTGTGCGGACCAGGGCCGGCGTGGGCAGAGCACACAGAGGTTTCAGGGCACCTGGGGGATTCGTGGCCAGCAGCTTCGGGCTGATCCAGCTGGTCCCTGCTCCCTTCTGTCCATGGCCAGAGCCGGCTGGGATGGCCCTGGCACAGAGTCTCCTCGGGTCCCCTCAGATGCGGGAACTGACCATGGCTCTGTTCCTCTCTCTTTCAGCCCTTGAAGGCATGGCCAATGACATCAGTGTCGCCGTCGGAAGCCTGGCAATTCAAACATTGTACGTCCTCCAGGGAACAGAGAGAGCTCCACATTCCATCTCTGGCAACCTGCATGATCGGCTCTGCAGGGCATGGAGGAGACGGCCTCGTCTGTCGGGGCTCGGCTGGCTGCGCTGCTGGAGCTCTGCAGAGAGCTGATCCCAGAGGCTCTGTCTGCTGGGGCCACCTGAGCCAGCAGGAATGTTTAATTTCTTCAAGATTGTTCTTTCCTTTTTTTTGTTTTTCTTTAGCATATAAATATAGGATGTGTTGTAATAGACAGACTCCCAGGATCTTTCTTTTGCTGCCCAGGCTCTGCAGGGCCATGGGGAAGAGGGAGAAAAAGGTTCCTGGGCTCAGCAAGCTGCCCAGGCATGCAGGGTTTTAGGGAAAATGGCCAGAAGCCCCTTGGCCTTTGGTGGTTCTGCTGAAGCCTTTGTGCTGCTGACAGAGCAGATGGGCAGGGGCTGGAGCTGTGGGGATCTCTGTGAGACCGGTGCCTGGAGATGGCCACAAGCCCTGTCCCAGGCAGGAAGCGCCATCTGTGTCCTCCTGCCCGTGTGTTGCTGGCTGGATTGCTGAGGGCTCCCAGGTGCCTCTTGATGGGGCTCCTCTGGAGCTCCTGTGGGGCTGCGGCGCTGCTGCCGGGCAGGTTGGCCGGGCTGGGGGAGACCCTGAGGGGACGGGGCCACAAAAGGATGAGGGGCTGCGGAAGCCCTGACAGGACAAGGCAGTGGGAAGGCACTGGGGGGACGTGTGAGGGAGTGGGTAACGCTGGCTCAGGGAGGAAAGTGGGTTGGAGCCAAAGAGACCACTCACCCCGATGTTCGTGTGGCAAACAGAGCACGTTTATTCTCAAGCCCTTCCTTCTAAGGGCCTTTGAAAAACCCAGTCTGGATGATTTCACTGGTTTCACAGCTTCAGGGGCTGCAGTGGGAGCCCGGCTGGGCTCTGCCCTGGGGCTATCCTGCAGGGACAGCTGCAAACAGGGAGCATTCCCTGCCACAAAGAGCCAAGCCAGGGCTGCAGGGCAGCTGCTCCAGCCCCGACTGCACTGCTGAGTGCTGTGCTCTGGGGCTGGGGCTCCCCGCACAGGGGACTGCACTGCTGTGCCAGAGGAGACAGAGAAGCTGCAGCTTCAGCCTAACCGAGGTGGGTGCGTGGGCTGGGAAGAGGGGGGAGGCTCAAGGGGATTCACAGAGCTCATCCTGCTGCAAGGATGAGGAAAAGGGAGTGGGAACTCAGCAGTGAGGAGAGCTGGGGCCTGGAGAGCAGCTCTGAATGACACTAAAATCCCACCGGACCTCTGAGACATTGCTGCTCCTCAGCCAGTGACAGGATGAGTCCCTAAGCCTGGGGCTCGGCCTTCCTCATGGTGAGGGGCACCAAGGAAGGCAACAGTGTGATGGAGACTGGAATGGGCTGGGAGCTCACTGGGGGAAAATAGGGAGCAGTTGGGGAGTAAAAGGCAGGTGGGGGAGAGAACTGGTTAGAGAAGGGCTGGGCTACAGCTTGAGCAAGCTGCAAAATGTCATTTGAGGTCATCCCAGATTGATTTAATTTCAGAAGTTATTGAACAAGTTTATTTTTTGGGTGGTGCCATGTTTTCCCTTGGAGGTGTACACTCTGCAAACTTGAACTGTGTTGCTGAAATGCTCAAGCAAGTCTGTGCTGCAGGGCACCCCATTTCTCCTTTTGCTGATTGTGGCCCGGTGCTGAGCTCCAGCAGAGCCCTGGCAGGGCCCAGAGCAGCCTCAGCACCCGCAGAGCCCGGCTGCAAGGAGAGAAACCAGAAACCACCCGTCAGCTGAAGGCTGCTGTCCCCTTGTCCCAGCTGCCCACAGAGCCCAGGCCATGCTGGCTGTGCCCAGAGCTGTGCCCAGAGCTGCCCATCACTGCTGCCTTTGGGAGCAGAGCAGGAGGGCAGGACATTCCCAGCCTGCAGCCAGCCACGGCACATCCAGCCCTCAGCAGCTGCCCAGAGCAGGACGCTCCTGTGCTCGCTGCCATCTCCCCAAAGCTCTGACCCCACCATCCCCAGCAGACAGGACTCACCTCACGCCATCCACCGCTGGGAGAAAAGCTGGTCCCAAACGATGTCCTCAGCCTTCTCCAAGGGCACGGCCCATCCACGCCGCAGCTGCTCCCAAGCACTTCCTGATCCAGACTGGACCCCACCTGGAACACTTCCTCTAGAAAAACAAACATCGAATTACTGAAAATAGATTACAGACAAAAAGGGGAACAAGGAAAAAGGTCAAAAATCTTATCTCTGTCAGGGACTTGAGGAAGGTCCAACCCCTGCTTGCCAGGGAAAAACCCACCATGGGTGAGGGAATCCCAGGCTTTCTCCCTTCTCTCTGCACTGCCCCCATGGTGTTCCCAAAGCAAACAAGGGCAGAGGAGCAGCCCAAGCCCTTCCTTGCCTGCAAAGCAAAGCAGCCCCTGCACAGGGTCTGGAGTCCCACCTCTGCTCCCACCATGGGGGTTTGTTTGTGTCGGGCTGGCTGCCCCAGCCCCAGCCCCAGCCTCAACTCACCCGTCTGGCCAGTCCGAAAACCTAATGGGAAATGGAGACTGACAGTCGATTTTCGCAGGCTTAATGCCAACACAGATCCTCTCACAGCAGCGGTCCCAAACTTAGCAGAATTAATAACATCTATTCAAGAAAAAGCTCATCCAATTATGGCAACTATAGATGTCAAAGATATGTTCTTTATGATACCATTACAACCAGAAGACATGGACCGTTTTGCCTTTACGTGGGAAGGACAGCAATACACTTCCACTAGACTCCCACAAGGATACAAGCATTCACCCACCTTAGCCCACCATGCCTTAGCTAAAGAACTAGAGGAGATATCCAAACCTGATGATGTAGCAGTGTATCAATACATTGATGATATTTTGGTGGGAGGGGATGAAATTGAAGCAGTAAGAGAGACTCAACAGAAAATAATCTCCCATTTAGAGAGTCTCGATTTACAGATCCCCCCAGAAAAGGTTCAAAAACCCTCTCAAGAAGTAAAGTTTCTGGGGATTTGGTGGAAAGGAGGCATGACATGTATTCCACCTGATACCTTAACTTCTTTAGATCAGATTAAAATGCCTCATTCCAGGAAAGATCTACAACAGGCTCTGGGATTATTAGTGTTTTGGAGAAAACACATTCCAGATTTCTCAATAATTGCTAGGCCCCTTTATGACTTGCTAAGGAAAGGGGTAAAACTCCTTCTCAGGAAGAAGCATTGCAATTACTGATTTTTGAAGCAACTGCTCATCAAGCACTGGGCCCTATTCATCCTACAGTCCCCTTTCAGGTAGAATGGGGATTTGCTGTCTCAGGATTGTCAGTACACATTTGGCAGCGGGGACCCGAGGGTCCAACAATGCCTGTTGGTTTCTATTCCCATGGTTTCAGAGATGCTGAGAAAAGGTACACTACCTGGGAAAAGGGATTGTTTGTGGTCAGCCTGGCTCTCATTGAAGTGGAAAGACTTGCACTACAACTACCAATTGTATTGAGAAGCCCTTTCAATGATACTAAGACAGTCACTACTGGGACCCCCCCTCCTGACGGGGTGGCCCAGAGGGCCTCGGTAAGAAAGTGGTATGCTCAGATTGAACATTACTGTAACATCTTTACAATAACAGAAGGAACTGTGAAAAATTTGGCAATACAAGAAACTGAGAGCTTGGATAGCAGCCAGGACAAACCTGCCTCTGTAATCAAAGTGGCCCCTCCTTTCTGCCCTGAAAAATCAGCAAACTCCTGGTTCACTGATGCTTCTGCTAAAAGGGAAGGAAAGATATGGAAATATAGAGCAGCAGCACTCCACATCTCTTCTGGTGAGCAAATTATCACAGAGGGAGAAGGTAGCACAGAGGTTGGGGAACTAATAGCCGTCTGGAGTGTTTTCCAAATAGAAGCACAAAATTCCTCTTCAGTCTACATTTACACTGACTCTTATGCTGTCTACAAAGGTTGTACTGAGTGGCTTCCTTTTTGGCAACAAAATGATTGGGAAGTGAATAGAATCCCAGTTTGGCAAAAGGAAAAATGGCAAGAAATATTAAATATTGCAAGTCAGGGGAATTTTGCAGTGGGATGGGTAGCCTCTCATCAAACAGACGGAAATCCAGCAGGAGAGTGGAATAATAAAGCTGATGAACTAGCAAGGCTTAGTCCCCTGAAAAAGGAGCAAATTACAGAGGAACGAGATCAACTGTTAGAATGGCTGCATGTCAAAAGACAGCACACAGGTGTGAAAGATTTATATCAAGAAGCTCATGCTCGAGGTTGGCCTGTTACCAGAGAAATGTGTAAAACCTGCATATCAGCTTGTGAGCAGTGTCACAGGCGACTGGAAAGACACCCTTTAGAAGATGACCCTTTGCATTCAAGGAAAGGTAAAGGTTTATGGGATGCATGGCAGATAGATTATATCAGTCCCTTCAAGAAATCAGGAGGAAAACATTTTGTACTAGTAGGAGTAGAGATTGTATCTGGGTTAGTCCAAGCTGATGCTTTCAAAAGGGCTACAGGGGACAATACTGTCAAAGCTTTGCAGGGGTGGTTTGGAACTTTCCCTAAGCCCCAGGAAATACAATCTGATAATGGATCTCATTTCACTGCTAGAGTTGTACAGGACTGGGCAAAAGGTGAAGGAATTAAATGGACTTTTCACACCCCTTACTATCCCCAAGCTAACGGGATCGCAGAAAGGACTAATGGTCTTTTAAAACGACTATTGAGACCACAGGAAGGAAATTGGGATCTTCGGTTATGGAATGCTGTAAAAGGTGTAAATGACAGGTGGGGAGTAAATGGGTGTCCCAAGATCACTGCTTTTTGTCCAACAGCTCCAAGCATCATTCCCTCACTGCAAGGACCTAATGATCCTAAAAATCCTGCACATTACCCTAGGCAACCTGTCTTGGTAGACCTCCCCACTGTAGGGCAGGTACCACTTGTGCTGAAAACCCCTCTGAACAAATATACATGGATAGCCTCTGATGCTCTAGGAAAAGAGCACCGCATAAATACACGCTGGATAATTCCATCATTCTAACCTTTTCTGCCATATAGTGGCAGGATTTTCTTGTTATGTTTGCTTTTACAGAAGAACCCCGAGGGACTTTATCATCTGAACCATGATAAAATTGATGATACTCCTCTGCATTTTACCACAAATCTACAGCCAACACCCCTCTGAGTGGTCGTGGTCGGAAGCTACCATCGAACACACTGATGTGATAGGATCATATCCTAAAGATCGCCACCCAAATCTGGCAACTGTCGTGCTACATAACTCTAAGGTATATCGTCCAAGTGAGTGGAAATGGGATCAGAAGGACTGGACCAGAACCCTAACTGGAACGATTGGTGAGACTATTGTGGTAGCATGCAGAAAGGTAGAAGGATCCTCACATGAGAAAGCTTCTTCTATCACAGTTGCTGGAAGTTTTATGGAACCAGGAGGAAAAAATAATTTAAAAATTCCTTCAGCAAAAGTGTGCCCTACAAAGAAATGGGAGTGTATCAAAACATTTCCCCTTACCCTGTGCTGCCGTCAAGAATACATTGGTAACTATACTTCAAGTCCCCAAAACAACAATGTAGTAATTACCTTAGATTGTGAATATGAACCCAATGAGTGCTGGTATAGTTTTGTTTTAGCTAAAACTACTTATGTGACATGTCTTTGGCAAAATAATTTAACCAATCCGTTGGACTTACAAGGTCTGGTTTACAAATTTAAAATTGATGCTACAACTAACAATGACACAATAATTGCACCCCAATTGATAGAAAGTCCCTTTACCGAAGGGCCATGGTCACAAGCTTTTGTTTATTTCTCTGGGTACATGGGAAATGTAAAAGATTTAAATCTATTAACTCTTGTTATGCATAATAATCAAATATACACTAAGCAAGAATGGAAAGAACAAAAAACTTGGCAGCTTCAAGGGGAAATAGGGGAGAAAATTAGTATAGGATGCCGAATGATTAACAAAACTGCTTACGACAAAGCAACTTCAATTAGTGTCCTAACAGGTAAAACAAACAAGCGAGAGGAGGTTTGCACGCATCCAAGCATACAAGAGTGTTGGCACAATTTTACACTAACACAAACTGCTGAAGTAGTTTGTCTTTGGGGCAAAGACACTGAAGGACTTTCTTTTAAATTCATAATAAATGTTATAACCCAAACTACTACAGTTCATACCACCACCACCACTCAAACTCAACCACCAGTTATGCTTACTCCAAAAATCTCAAAAGTTGGACCATATATTATCAGGAAAAGTGGCCAACAACAAATATTGTTCAATCCGGCATGGTCTCTTAAACAAGTTAAATTGCTAATGCAAAGTAATGTCTCTGAAGTTCAGCCAGCTTGTTCACCTTTCTTGCAAACTTCTTTCCAGGGGTGGACGACCTGGTTACGACAGTGGAACCCTTCTAAAACACGGATACCAAGAGACATAACTGATGTTGTGGGAACAGGATTGGGAATTCTAAATAGTATTAATTCAGAAGTATTATTAAATAAATTGGCTGCTACAACTAAAGATTTGACCCAATTACAACAACCATTGCAATCATCCTTATCAGCCTCGGGAACACATCAGTGGTTGCTAACAAACATATTACCAAATTGGGAAAAGGTAAATATGAATGACCACGAATTGATAATTGATGCACTCAATGCTACACAAAGCAACGTTTCCTTAGCCCTTAGCTGCATCCAGGCACAATTATGGATGCAGTCAGTTGCTGCTTCACTTATAAGAGAAGGTGAAGAAGGCACGTTTCCTATGGAAATTCGGAAGATAGTTTGGAACAGTGCCACTGACTTTGAAAAGGATTTCCAATCCTGGTGGAATTTGGTAAACTTTACTTATGACCCCACTGCAAACTTAGCCACAGCTTTTGTGTTAACCATACGCAATGCCTCCGTGCATTCAATATTCCCCATTATTGCATTAGGATTGAATCATGATGGAGCCACTCTCTATCCTTCCGAGCATAGAGAATGGGCCTGACAAATTGATGATAAATGGCAAACTGTTAACTTAGAATCTTGTATTGTCCAAGAACAACAAGGGTTCATCTGTGAAGGCAATGCAATTATAGCTCAGGATATTTGCCTGGACACTGAACAAAATACCTGTCACTTTGAAATCCATCCTAACAAAACTCCTAAAACATTCCTTGTATATATAGGCAATGGATGTGCATGCTTTAGAACTGCTTGTAACACGGTGTATGTAGAAGACACAGTAGTAGATACTAAAAATCATTCAAATTTTTGTGCTTGCAATTTCACTAAAATTACAGGATGTGATTTTTCTTTTGAAGCTCCAGTTACCTCATATCAACTTTTAGAATCTAATTACACGCTGATCCATAAGCTATTGCCTACCCCCATTGGAATGAATCTTACTCTGGTAAGGCAATTGTTGCTTCACCAGGACTTAATTAAAATCTTAGGAAAAATCAAGGAGAACGGACAGAAAACACTGGTAACTATTCATCATGATGTACAAGAAATACATCGGGTTACAGAAAGAGTAAAAAGTGATGCAGAACATAGGTGGTGGGATACACTTTTTGGGTGGTCACCTACTGCTACAGGTATCCTGAACAAATTGTGTCATCCCATTGTTGTTCTTTTGATTTTAGTTTTGATTGCCTTTGCTTTATCAGCAATCTTGCTTATTATGAATTGGAGAATGATAAAACGATTAACAAAATTGACAGCTATAATTAATGCACACCACTTGGCCGATGTGCTTTATACTATAGACATCCCCAGGACTATAGACACAAAGGAATTATAAGACTAGAAGATTGTTTGTTTTAGTCACTTAGAAAACCTGATTTGAATTCTTAAAGATTGTTTTATTAGTTTAAAGAATTGTTTTAATATTATTTAATCAACTCATTGTTTATTGATTAGAAAATTGTTCCAATTAATATTGATTCAATTTATACTAATTATTGTTATTGTTTTACTATTTCCCTTATTCTCTTTTCCCCTTCTTTTTCTTTTCTTTCCCTTCTCTGGGATATGCTGCCAACACTAGACGAGTCCTGAAGACTTCACAACGACACTACAGAACCCTGCTGAAGATCTCTTGAGGGCAATCATCAGTCACGGGGTGGTGTAAGAGGCACTCTGAAGACCCTCACTCATTTGCCTGCCGATTGCCAGGAGAAGGAACTCCCTTCCCCACTGCAGTTCCGGCTTGGAGAAGGCAACAGTGCAGGTGCAGCCGCTGCACCGTTACGTTCTGTTCCCAACGAGGCCCGGCAAGAACTTGGCAAGGAGTTGGCAAGGACTTGGCGAAGACCCAGCGTGGACCCAGCACAGAGCAGCCCTCTGCAATTCCTGCTTCACTCTCCACCTTTAAGCTGAATGAACTGTTGGGGTGACTCTGGTGGTCTCTCACTGAAGACCCCTCATCTGCCTCGTTACCACCGTGACAGACAGAGATCAAGAACCCTCTCCCCAAGGACTGAGACTGAGACCCCTACCACAGAGAGTGGTGGTGGGGGGAAATGACATGACCTGTCCTTCTCCAGTAACTTCAATGGACTTATTCATCATTGTGTTTGTTCAGCCTGGATGATTTTCTGTAGATACACCTGTTCCCCCCATAGCAATTTCAATAGACTCTCATTGTTCTGCATGTTCCCCCCTTTTCCCTCTGTGGACTATAACTGGACCCCTGGGTTAGGTAGGACTTTGGAGACTCTCCCCAACACAACAAGACGGATCCCCATGGTCCAGACCAGTGAGGACCTCGCCTGTGTTGGTAGCTATTCCCATCCCCCCTTTCTCTCTCTCTCTCTCTCCTTTTTATTTCTTTTCTGACCCCACTATCGCATTTATTGGTTTTGGCCCTTAATAAAGGGGCATCTGTTGTGATTAAACTGATAGTCCCCTGCTGTTTGTCTTTTGCACTTTGGGATCGGCTAACGAACCATCACGACACCCCACTATAAGCGGATCGTGACACGTCCCATCCCATCCCGTCCCGTCCCATCCCATCCCATCCCATCCCATCCCATCCCATCCCATCCCATCCCATCCCATCCCATCCCATCCCATCCCGTCCCATCCCATCCGGGTCCCACAGGTCCCGGTTCTGGCTCATACCGGCCCCATCGGCCCCAGCCCCACCCTGACCAATCCCTTCATTAGCATCTCATTTGCATAAGGACCCACTAATTTCCTCCCCCAAACACCCCCTCCAGAAGCCCTGCCTGCAGCCCTAATTGCATCTCATTTGCATAAATACCCCCCAGTACCTCCAGGACCCATCAAGTAACTGTTCTGTGCTCCTCACTAGCATCTCATTTGCATAAGGACCCCTCACAGAGAACTCTCCCACAGACCTCATTTACATAGACACCCCCCAAATCTCCCCAGGACCCCTGCAGAGACCATCTACAGCCCCCTATAAGCATCTCATTTGCATATGAACCCATCCATTCCCTCCTAAACTTCCCTGAAGCCCCCCCAGAGACCCTGTCTGCAGCCCTAATTTGAATCTCATTTGCATAAATAACACCAAATACCTCCAGGACCTGCTGCCTTCAGGGGAGGCAACGGCGACCTGGTTCGCAAGGAGCAGCACGGCAGCCCGGCCTAGTCCGGGCTACTCGGGCTAATGACACACGCTGACACCCATGTGGTGGATGGTCGAAAGCGTTTATTATCTTATCTCATGGGTTTAAATAGTCTTGGGGGACTTTGCTACGTCAGGGCGGGCTTGGTAGGGCCTCTAGGATTAGTCAGGAGTGGAAAACTACTGGGTTAGTTGTGGTTACATGTTCTGGGGGTGGTAGATAACGTGTTGCAGGGAGAAGGGGGAAGGGTCTTTCTTTCCGTCACATCCCGGGATCTTCCGTTCGCCTGTCCCTATCTACTACATCGGGCCAGGACCAGTGCACCAGCCAGTTTGCTGTGCAGGTTAGAGGAAGGGCTTGGGCTGCTCCAATCACCTTGTTTGTCTTGGCTTCATAATATTTTTGGGGCACTGCAGGCAGGGAGGATAAGGACATGTTTTTTCCCCCAGCCCTGAGTGGGTTTTTGCTTTACATGTCATGGTCAGGCCTTGCTGGGGCTTCTGCTGCCCTCTTCCATCACCAGTGGCTTCTTGTCCAGCCCTGAGTTTGTAGACAAGTCCCAGGTGCTGGCGAGAGTGCAGCAGTCGCCCCGTGTGCCACTGGGGCAGCCCCTGCACGCCCAGGGATGCTGGGGCCAGGCTCTGGAAGCAGCAGCAGCATCCCCCTGATGAACTCCATCTGTATTCCACAGGAACACTGTCATACAGCCCCCCGGAATGGACCCACTTGGGCTGGTACTACGGAGAGGCAGCAACGATCTGGTCCCTGGGCATCCTGCTGCACCAGATGGTCTGCGGGCAGCACCCTTTCAGGAGGGGCCGGAAGATCAGCTGGGACCATCAGCTCTCGCTGCCACAGCGGCTCTCTCCAGGTGGATCCTCATCTCTGGCCACGGGGGAGTACCAGTGCTGGGAGACAGCAGCAGCTCGTGAGCATCTCGCTCTGGCAGCCGCTGAGGAGGTGGCACATGTCCTGCTCTCCTGCTCTCCTCCACAACAGAGAATTGATGGGAAAGTTTAGGCCCAGCTCGGAGCACAAAAGCAGCATGGCCTGGGCATGGGAAGAGTGGGGCAAAGCAGACAGGAGCCTTCTCTAGCTGACCGCTGGTTTCTGGTTTCTCTGCCCAGAGTGCCAAGATCTTATCAGGTGGTGTTTATCCATGCACTTCTTGGACAGACCTTCCTTAGAAGACCTGTTCTGTGAACCTTGGATACAGGATATTCACCTGCCATAGAAGAAGGGAGAGAGCCACATGCACACTTTGCTGCAGGGCCCTGGTGAGTTACAGCTCCACACATGCCCTGGCAATCAGAAGCAAGGAAACCCAGACTTTTTTCCCTGCCTGTGTCAATGCACTCGGGTCTTTGGGTGGGAACACACAGCCCTTGTGCTGGAGCTGAGCTGCTCTGCCCAGCACTGGTGGCTGCCATCCGAGCTGGTTTTGCGTGTCCTGGTTCCCTGACAGCTGGGGCCCTGGGCAGAACCCTGACAGCCTGGTCTGACCCCCAGGGAAGGAGAAGGAGCCCCTGGAGAAGCTGTACCAGGTGGGGCTGCTGCTGCTGCTGGAGACAGTGAGGATGACATCAAGGATGACAAACTCTTCCTCAAGTTGGCCACTGGCAGCTGAAGATGATGGACTTCTGGCACCGTCTTCAAAGCCAGGCTCCACAGCGAATTTGCAGATGAGTCCACAGCCGGGGAAATGCTCCCAGATTTGGGCATTGCTCAGACTGGCTGGGAACAAAAGGTTCCCCCTGTGCTGGGGCAGATGCAACTTCAGTCGGCTGCCCAGCTGCTTTTTGGCAGGGCTGGGGGCACGGGTTGGGGTGGATACAAAATGGGAGTGGGCTCCTGGCCCTGCCAACAGCCCCCAGCACCCAGCATGGCCTGGGCTGAGGCTGGGGCTGGGGCTGGGGCAGCCAGCCTGACACAAACAAACCTCCATGGTGGGAGCAGAGGTGGGATTCCAGAACCTGTGCAGGGGCTGCTTTGCTTTGCAGGCAAGGAAGGGCTTGGGCTGCTCCACTGCCCTTGTTTGCTTTGGGATCACTGTTATTTTGGGGGGCAGTGTAGGAGGGAAGAGAGAAAGTGTGGGCTTCTCTCCCCTTTGGGTGGGATTTATTAAAAAAATATGGATATTGATCTAGTATCGATATCCAACTATGACGGACAAAAACTCTCTAACAGTTTAAAGTTAGAAAGTGTATGTTTATTCGACGCCGGGCAGCGTGCGGGATAGCTCCCAAATACACACCGCACCTTCCAGGTGATTACAGAGTCTTTTTATCCATACAAGTATTGAGTACACAAAATACAAATACATATTCATCATTTTAGTACATCCCATTTCCCGCTTCATATGCTAATCACTCCAAAAGCTATTAAGCATGTGTAGTTTGTCCCTTGAAATAAGCTGGTGGTCCCTTTCATGGGGAGGGGTCCCAAAATGAGGAAGTAAATGAAGTCTTCCTCATTCTGACCTTTCTACCTTTTCAATGCGGGTATGACAAATGAACTCTTGGTAGAACTCCCATTCCTTGTCTTCAATTGGTTTCAGAACAGAGGAGGCCCACAATTGTCTTATGTTCCGAAAAGCTATTTATCAGTTTCTATATTCTTCATTATAAACCCAGCTCACTAAACATTGTGCTGACAAGCTATCAATTATTAGTTAACTCCTAACTCCTAACTTCATCAAGGCCTACTCATTTATTATTATTATTTTAATTAACTCTAGTAAGGCTTATTTCTCTTAGCTCCTCAAAATCTCTAAATGCCTTAAAGTTTATGTTTCATTCCTCAGTTCTTCTTCGGAATGAGTAAATTCTTTTACTCAATATATAGACCTTTTTTCATCTGCCCAAGACATGTGTCTAGTTTCTTTCAAAACTAAGCCATATGCTTTTGATAGTGAAGTTAGGGCTGTCATTCGTCATATCATTTTCTGATTCCAAATAAGTATTACAACAGACAAAATGAAGCTTATACTAACTAAAATAAGTAACACAATAATAGGATGAATTAAAGTATTAAGTATGCCGGTTGCTGTTGGTGACCATCCAAAAAGCACATCCCACCAATGATGAGACAAGTGTTCCTCAAATCGTTTAAAAACTCCTTTGATGGTCTCTGTGTCATGGTGTATAGTAATTAAAGTCTTTTTCCCTGCGTCTCTAATCTCTTTTAAAATTTCTCTCAGTTCCTGATGTTTTAACAATTGAGCAACTAAAGTCAAATTCATTCCTATGGGCACGGGCACTATCTCTTGTACAGTAATTAAATTGGCTTTTATATACTGGTGTGATACTACAGGTGCCTGATATGAGAAGTCACATCCCTCAATTTTAACAAAGTTACAGACACATAGATTGAACTGAGTCTCATTCATGCTTAGATTGTCTATCATTATGGTGGAGCATGCTGTTCTGAGACAGACACAACCTTGTCCTACATATACAAGCAAAGTTGTTTGGTTGCCTGAATGTGTTTCAAAGTGGCAAATACTTTGGTCCGTATCTAAACATGTATCTTTATTATTTTCTAATGTCCCCTCACATATGTACCCCAGTTGTCTCCTCATAGAACAGGGCTCTAGATTGATGGTTTGCCACTTTCCTCTGATTTCTCGCGCCCATGTTCTATGTTCAGAAGGATATAACACAGTCCCCTCATGGTTTAATCCTAGGGGCACTATAGGATGAATTAAGCTCACTGATGCATTATGTATTGTTAAAACAAAGGCTGTTACTTTACTTGTCATAGGGTTATAAGTGAAATTGACCAAAGTCCACCAAGCTTGTAGTTCCCTTTCTATATCAGATGCACTATCCCAAACAATTTTACGGAGTTCGGCAGGGAATATTCCCTCCCCACCTTCCCTGATCACTGCAGCAGCTACTGACTGCATCCATAGTTGTGCTTGGGTACACCCAAGAGCTAGTGAAACATTTTCGCTAGCTGTGCCTAATGCATTAATTATTAATTCATGGTCTCGCTCTTCAGTATTTTCCCCTTCTGGTAATACTTTGGATAACTTCCAATGGTTGTCACCCAGTGCTAGTAGGGAAGATTGCAAAGGTTGCTGTAATTTAACTAAGTCGTTCCCTACTGTTGTTAGTTTATTCATCAGTACTTCTGAATCTATGGTATTTGGCACTCCTAGTCCAGTCCCTAGCAGCCCAGTGAGATCTCTTTTACTCTTAAAGTTGGAGGGCATTTGTTTTTGAAGCCAAGTGGCCCAGTCCATGAAAGGATTTCTGAGAAATGGGGCGCACTCTGGCCGGACATCTGAAGCATTTACCTGTATTCCCATTTCTACTCGCTTCAGAGACCATTCCGGATTGACCAGCAGTCTTTGGATTCCCGTTTTCTTAATAGCATACGGCCCAATTTTAGTAATCGTAGGAGCTATAGGCTGCTCCTCTACTTCTGGGATAAGTGGCTGTGGGGTAGTAATAGCTTTCTTTTGTATTGGAGGGGTAGTTCTAGTCCTGTTCTTATGATATTCAACACACACTTGAGGGATATTAAAATCAAGATCATAGCCTCTTATTGCACATCCCTCTAGTTTTAGTCTAAATTCAGGACATTTACTCAAACATTTGTCACAGCATTCGGGGCTAATTCGAATGAGTTTCATGGGTGGTTGGTAAGCCTCATGGAACCCATCTTGCACAAATGCATAGTTACATCCCCAAACATTTCTCCCTTCCCACAAACGTGCATTTGTAACCTTTATAATCTCATTCAGGGCCCTACGAGAGTGGGGATCATAGGCCCTTCCTTGACACCGGTATATTCCAGTTACGTTGTACTTGTGTGGTATTGTATTGGCTCCTGTTACAACTGTGGCAATAGTGATAATAGTTACGACCTTCTCCATCATGTCCATAATTTCTATAGGTCCATTTATTCACTGTTGCAGGTGAGCTTCAGCTTCAGCTCGTTGTCACCTGGTGTCACTTTCCAGACTCCCTCAGGAACTTTCTTCACTCGGGAGTGATGGATCCAGGCTTTCTGTTCTTTGATCTTGATTGCAGTAAAGGTAGTGAGGAGCACTAGGTAGGGTCCTTCCCACTGTGGTTCCAGGCTTTTTTCTGCAAAAGACTTAACATATACATAATCCCCAGGTTGTACATCATGTACTGGCCCATCTAATTCTCTGGTCTGAGCTCCAGCCACATATTTTTCAATTTCACTTAATTGTTTGTTCAGGGCTACTATATATTTATGTAGGGTTTCTTCTCCTACCTGTGTTGGTGTGATTCCTTCTTGAACTGCATATGGTCTCCCATATAATATTTCAAAGGGGCTCAATTTTTCTTTTGTTCTTGGTTTTGTCCGGATTCGCAATAATGCTAATGGGAGAGCTTGGGGCCAAGTAGGTTTGCCTCTTGTCCCAACCTTACAATCTGTTGTTTAATCAAATGATTCATCTTCTCCACTTGGCCACTCGATTGAGGATGATATGGGGTATGTAACTCCCAATCTATCCCCAGGTGATGGCTAATTTGTTGCACAATTTTGGAGATAAAATGCGGCCCTCTATCTGAGGATATGGTGGCTGGAACTCCAAACCTCGGTATTATTTCTTGCAACAGTGCTTTGGTTACCTCTCATGCTTTAGCAGTCCTAGTAGAAAAGGCTTCTGGCCAACCCGAAAAGGTATCAGTCAATACTAGGAGATAACGATATCCCCCCTTCCTAGGTAATTCTGTAAAATCGATTTGCCACTGCTGCCCAGGTCCACAACCTTTCCCAATTTGTCCAACTTTAGGCCTTGGGATGTTTTTAGGATTAGTTCGGAGGCAAAGGCTACACTGACGAGTTACTTGTATTATTGTGCCCTGTAATTTCCTAGCTATAATTTTTCCTTTCAGATGGTTATACAGGGCATCTATTCCCCAGTGTGTTTTTTCATGATCCTTTTGCACTAATGACCACAACAAATAGGAGGGCACCACAAGTCTCCCTTCCTCTGTTATAGCCCATCCTTCTTGATTAAAATTTGCTTTTTCTGCCTTAATAAGTTTCTTATCCTTTTTATTGTACACAGGCTTACCTTCAATAGAAATCTTTCCATCTGGGATTAATGTTGCTTCCACTGTCTCCTCAAATACCTCACCTTTGGCTGCGTCTTTTGCCTCTCTGTCTGCCAGCATATTCCCTTCTTCCAATTCAGAGCTCACTTTTTGGTGTGCCTTAATGTGCATGATGGCTACCTTCTCAGGTAGCTGCACTGCATCTAGTAGTCTCAGTATCTCTTGTGAATGTTTAATATTCTTCCCTTGCGAATTCAACAGTCCTCTCTCTTTCCAAATGGCTCCATGTGCATGAACTACCCCAAATGCATACCTTGAGTCTGTGTAAATGTTAATCTCTCTTCCTTTTGCCAACTCTAAGGCTCGAGTTAAGGCGATTATTTCGGCCTTCTGTGCAGAGGTGTTTGCTGACAGCGGTCCAGACTCTATTACCTCTCTGCTTGTGGTAACCGCATACCCAGCATGCCTTTTCCCACTGATGACATAGCTGCTTCCATCAGTAAACCAAGTCTCAGCACCTTCGAGTGGGATGTCCTTCAGATCTGGACGGCTGGAGTAGGTGGCTTCAATGGTCTCCAGACAGTCATGGATCACTGGTTCTCCCATACCCCCGCTGAGAAAGGAAGCTGGATTCACAATGTTAGTTACCACAATTTCAACATCATCCTGTTCTACTAGCATAGCTTGGTACTTCAGAAACCTCTGTGGAGAGAGCCAATGTCCCCCTTTTGCC